CTTGCAAATATTTTGAGATATTTTTAATTTTATTAGCATAGAAAAATTCATCCTTGAGTTGACTGATATTTTCTCATCTTAGAACACGAGTAAGTTGAATCTAACCTCATATATCAAGATATCTCATGTCATATTCATACATTAGATTAGGTCATTAAATAGATCATTGTCAAAGATATTACTTCACACTAATAAATATTTAGTCTTATTTCATAATTTTATAGTTATTGACGATACAATACACAATTATTTTGTTACCATTACTCATGTTTATTTTCTAAACTGTTGTGTATACTTATTACTAGGTTCGATATTTTTTCTCATATCACATGCTACTAATTTGACTATATATACTTGAACATGAAAAGTAGCCATTAGTGATCTTCAAGGGTTTAATCGATTGAAAACAAGACAACGGGGGTACATAGAAATGATGGTATCTTTTTGAAAGAAGAAAACTTGGAAAACATTGAAGAATTATTTTCTGGTAATTGATTGTAAATCCCTATATCACTACATAATCGGTCGCCTGACACTGGCTACCTTGGAGGTCATTTCTTCAACTCTCCACTTAAAGCTAAAATATCACACCGATGAGGACATCATATCCACCATGGAAGCATACTTGGAAGCTTATCATTCTTTCTTCTTGGCATCCATAAACTCCATCAGGAAAAGATTAATGCCAAAGATAAGGAACCACTATTGATTAAAGGAATGAAGGATCTCAAAGAGTTGAAGAGGATGGAAAGAAAAAGGAAAAGGAACCCCAGCAAATCATTGTCAAGTTGGATGATGTTTGGATAAGGTTCAAGGTTGACATTGGAGGATCTAAATGTTAGGGCAAAGAGAAGACGAAAACACCTTGAAGAATTTAACCAACTGTTTCAAAATAGTTTAGAACCACAAGAAAGTGTTATTTAAACCATCATTATTTACTTTTTATTTTAATATATTATTAGAATGAATTAACCTTATTCATCTAAATTTTTATCCTATGCTTATAATTACCAAGACTTTGAATTAAACAATCATAATATTTTTGTTGCTATAACATTTTGTCTCTAAAGATACAATTGTCATCCCCCCAAGGAAAAGACTCATGAATAATTGCCACTTTGAGGAAAGAAATCAATTAAAAACGTTCCGAAGAGAGGAAAAGATACACTAGAGCCACAACAGATGGCAAAAGGGCCTCAGTCTCTGAGTCACCACCAATGAGAAGAACAGACACCTGAAGGCAATCCACCCTTATCTCAAGTTTGAAGCTTGGGGAAGGGTCAATCAAAAGGTATCCTTGGTCTAAGATCATCCTTATCACAGATTGATAACTCGTAAGAGACAAAATATCAGTCCTTTAGTGTTACATTTGTGAGAGTCATATATAAAGGCGGTTCGGGCGACATCATCTCATAAGAGTGGTATTGCCTAGGTGGCATCCGCATAGAACATGGGGGTCACCTTTGGCATCGATGAAATGTATAATGTCTTTGGTAAGGTGAGAGGAAGTCCCCCACGATTCTATGAGGAATAAGGGATCAAAAACTTCCCCTTGACGTGAGGGAGTGGTTGCCACCCCTAAGGGTTTCTTAAACACTATGGCCAAAGAAGTATCTATAAACACCTCTCCCTCACTGGGAGAAAGACATATCTTAAATAATATAGATCATAACTCATAGGATTATAACTAAGCTCACAACACATATATAGCCTCTCATCCTACGTGAGAAAGTCTCCTAAACCACCACAAAGACCATCATACAAGGCTTCTCGCTGTTGTGGGCAAGCTCTAACCATCATACAATGTAATATACCTACAAAGTCCCTTGAGTAACTCTTCCCTTACACCGATATAACACACGTAGGCTACACCTTCTCCATCACCATCACCCTACTCACTATTACCATTCACGTCTATACCTAGCCACTTGTGGCGATGGTTGACAGGAGAGCTCCATCCCGTAGGCCAGAAGGTACCAACGGTGGCGGTGATGTCGACACCCTGGCGGAGATACATGCCTCCATGGACGAGTTACACCGTCACATAAATCCAACCCTCAAAGGAAATTGATGTGTTGGATCCCTAGCCACTCTCAGACGAGATATGAGGAGCGGTTGTCCTTGAGGGGTTCATGCTGCCCTCTTTGGTCAAGTTTGATGGGTGTAGTGACCACTTCGAACATGTCTCCTCCATCAATAGGAAGATGGCCATCATTAGTGCGTATGACTCCATAAAGTTTAAACTATTGTATGGAACCTTCATGGATGCATACTTACGATGGTACATGGGTCTTCCCCAGGCTTCCAATCCCAATTATTAGGAGATGGTAAAGAAACTTGTGCATCAGTTTGTTTCCATCCATCACAGGGCCCGTCAGAATCATTGAGAGACTATTTCACCGGATTCAATGAACCCACCATCAAAGTTGTTCCTCCAAACCAGGAAATGTTTGTGGGAGAATTCTAGAATACGAATAAGGTGAGATGTTTCAACAAATCTCTCGCCCAAAAGCCTGCATTATCTCTAGTAAAGGTGCTCACTAGAGCAGAATGCTACATCAAGGGCAAGGAAAGCAACACCGAGAAGAAGGTGCATAATGTTAAAGAACATGTTCTTAACGCAAAAGGATCACCCCTTAAGAGGAAGAGTAATTGCACCTCATCAAATACAAGATTGCATTCAAGAGGGTAGACAAGGCAATAGAGAACTTCACGCCCTTGAACACTCGTGGTGAATAGATCTCACGCAAGGTTTTTCACATGCATAACATCCCAACACTGCCCACTCCAAAGGAGGATGTAAGGGACCCTGAACTAGGAAGATGGTGCAAATTTCAAGGAGTCAAAGGATACCACGTGAAGGATTGCTACAAACTCAAGAAAGAAATTGAGAGACTAATCTAGGAGGAACACCTCAAGAAATGTGTGAATGGCGAGTCCTAAAATAGGTTAAATAAGTCCAACTGGTGAGGTCGATATGATGTAGGAAACCCAAAGCCAAACAAATAAAAGGTGGCATACCATGGCGATGGTAGTAAAGTTGTGTGTCACATGTTCAACACCATAGCAGGATGATTCACTGGGGATTGAGAATTGATAATCTCCACGATGTTGAAGGAGAAGGCAAGATGAAGCTTCTTGAAAATATAATTGCCTTCTCTTAGAAAGATGTAGTCATCATCCACACTTATAATGACGACCCCATGGTCATCATCGTCAAATGTGATGATATGGAGATCGAAAGGGTTGTCTTAGAACAAGGAAGCTATGTAGACATTTTGTACTATGAGGCATTTGAAAGACTTTTCCTTGACCTAGAGGACATGAAATCCTTAAAAGGTTTGTTTGTAGGATTCTCTAGGGAACATGTGTGAGTTAAAGTATATATTATTTTGAAGACCACTTTAAGAGAGCAAGACCAGACCAAGAAGATAAAGGTCGGGTATTTGGTTATTAATGCCCCCTCTTCCTACAATATGATTATAGGGAGACCAAATTTTAACCAGCTGGGCACTGCTTTGTCCACTCAATATTTATGTATGAAGTACATGTTCCCTAATGGTCAAGTGAGAGTTGTCCAAGAAGATCAGGAGATTTCTAGAAGGTGTTACATGGAGAGCCTAAATCTGAAAAGGGCCCGCACCATAGGCGTCAGAAATAGGAAAATTGGCTCGTGGATATATCTGCTCGAGAGAACCTACAAAGGTGAAGAGGCTCCCCCTCCAACTAGTAAGGAGAATGAAGATTGAAGGGAGAGAAGTAATTCCCTCTAGAGTCATCTATATTGTTGTCATTTATTTGTCTTTCTTTACCATCGTTCAATTATTTTGTTGATTTTCATCGGTGAGTATTAAAATCTTTCTCGATTGTAAGGACAGGTATATTTTGTCGGGTGCACTCTTTTTGCTCTAAATTTTTCATAGGGTGAGAGATTTTAATGAGGCCCCACACTTTATTATTTTAAATTCATGTTTGTTGGTTATTACCTTTTTTGCAGAAAATCCATAAGCTCGAAAAAATATTTCCCCATAGAGGAGATCAAAATGTTGGCCCCCTAAGTGAGATCCTTGCCACCCATTGAGGCCATAAAAATGCTGGACCCCTAAGTGGGATCCTTGTCATTCATTTATGAGATAAAAATGCTTGATTCCTAAGTGGGATCCTTATCGCCCGATCAAAATGTTGGACACCTAAATGGGATCCTTGTCATCCATTGAGGCGATCAAAATGTTGAACCTTTAAGTGGGATCCTTGTCACTTATAAGAGGAAAACAAAATGATGGACCCCTAAGTGGGATCCTTGCCACCCATAAGAGGAAAAAAATGTTGGACCCCTAAGTGGTATTGTTGTCACCCATGTAGGATCCTTGCCACCTCCTAGGAAGAGAAAAATGTGGGGACCCTTTGCAACTCCTAAAATCAGTCGAGTTGTTGCAAGGAGAACGATGATAACAAGTGCCATCAGTTAAGGGATAAAAGATTTATCATATGAGAATAACTATGAAATAGAGTAATGATAAAGGAAATTAACATAAAAGGTGCCCCAAGGAGCACTATTGTTCTTACAATCACAAAAAGCCCCCAAAGGGGCGAAGAAATACAACAAAAAGGTTGCTAGGGTCAAAGAAATTCTACAACCAAACAATCATTTCTCCTCCTGAATCGCCTCCTTCCTAACATCATTCTTTGGTGGAAGGACTCCAAATCATCTCCTTTTGTCTCCCTACACTTATTATGTGTATCCTCGAGGAGAGAACGACTTTTAGGCTCTTAGGAGGCCACCGCCTCCTCATCCACTGCTGGCCACCACAAACGACTTTGAGGAAGTCCATTTAACTCAGGTATAGAGTGGGTTAGAGGAAATACATATGTTCTTTGGCGCAATCAAAGTAGACACCACCTTATTAATGAGCTTTGAAACCTCTCTCTCCATCTCCTGTTAGCGAAGAAGGGCAGTGTCCAAGGATTTATGCAAGGAATCCCTCTCAATGCAGATCTCCTTAGCCTTGTCCTTCAGATCTTCCATCTTCTCCTCCCACTTCTCCTCGTCTTTCTAGAGTGCCTTCAGCATCTTGGGATTTCATTATAGGCATCCACCTGCTTCTAGAGCGTCGCCTCCAACTCTTTCTCAGCCTTGTCTCGCCTCTCCTGGTAGACATCCTACAACATGAGCGTCCTCAACAAAAGGTTATCCTTCATGTTTACAATAGTAGAGGTCGACTTAGAGAGAAGGGATTTATAACCAATAGGGAAATCCTTTTAGAAGGGAAAGTGAGAATTCTTGAATCAGAGGGTGTCAAAATTGTTATCGTTCCACATAGTAGAAGGAGGTAAGGAAGCATCACATATGGAAGGCGCCTGAATGTTTTCCTTCCTCGAAGTAAGCGAGATAGTGTTAGTAGCAGAAGAAGGACTTCATTTAGCCTTTGAGACTTCATGTTGGGTGAGTCAGGAGTTGAGTCTTCCGTCTGCCTCTTTCTCCCCTTTATGATGAAACCGTCGGTGTGACTCTGGGGGTTATTAGTGTTTGGAAGAATAGCTTGGATATTTTGCCACCTTTGCCTCTCCTCTTCAGCAGAAATCCTCACCATTTGATATGTAAAACAATGCACAAAGGTCACAAATATTGTATAAAACTACCTACAAAGGAAAATATAATATAACTTACCTAAATAAGCAGAGAGGTGTTTACTACCGCATAGCCAAATTCTAACAATTTCACGACAATTGATAACCTAAAACTTCCACAAGAGATGGACAATCTTATCCTGTTAGAGGGTAATGAACGTCTTGTCATATCCCATGATCGCCAATGGATCACTCATATAGGATAGAGGAAGGATGGGGCGTTGTCATCTCCCAACACTTCGAGGGAGTCATCTCACCCCCTCACACTAGAGAACTTGTCCTTCCAATACTACAGTGATTGGAGTAGGATACAAAAAGGGTTTTCCCCACCTAACCACTCAAATATTCCTTTATACATATAAATATGTTAGGGTTTATGTAACTTCTATTTGTTTCATTTTATCATATTTAGGGCTTAGAGATTATAAATATCATTTGTAACACTTAAGTTCTATATAATTGTAAATTATTTATTGGAAAGGGAAGATAAATTTCCTAATTTTGGAAAGTGTCCAAAATCATTGTTACTCAATATTTTTATCATATTGTTGCAACTTGTTCACCAAGGTGTGGTGACAAACTATTATAGAATAAAGTGGTATGATTTCTCTAAGTGTTGTGAAATATAAAGTGGTGTGCTTTCTTGCTTGTGTTAGAAGATTGTAAGTGTGTCTTAGGGGTGAGGCTTGTACAAAGATCTTATATAGTGTAAAGTCCTTCAAGGTGTGAAGTGACTAGATGTATCCTTGGTTATAAGGGGAACTGTTATAAATTATCGTGTCATTTACTTTCTTGCTATTAATTTTTATGCACTTTTCATTCTAAGTTCATCAACTTAATCATGGGAAAATAAAAAGGGAAGAACAATAGACTAAAATTAAGAAAAATCTATAAAACCTAATTCACTCCCTCTTAGATTTCAATAAATAGTTACAATTTACATAAAAGCGGGTTAAAGTAACTTTCTCCTCGATCTAGGTAGATATGGCTTTTGCAAAACCATCTTTAACAGATGTTGGAAATAACAACAAACCACCATGTTTCGTTGGAGATTACTATGACTTCTGTAAAATATAAATGCAAATGTTCTTAGAAGCTCAATTAGATGAATTTGGGATGTTGTCAACAATGGACCATTCATTGCTACAACGATTATAAATAATGTAAAATAACCAAACTAAACATTATATCACAAGAATATGAGATGTTTAGAATACAACCCGAAGAAACAAATCTTAATTTGCAAAAAAGATTTACACACTTGATAAACCATTTCATGTCACTTGGTATCACAAATAATGATTTAAATCTCAAAGTTCTTAAATCATTGATAAGGGAATGGCAACCAAAGGTAACAATTATACCAGAGAAGAAAAGTCTTTACAAAATATCTTTGGCGACATTGTTTGGAAAACTTTGAGAATATGAGTTAGAACTTGGAAGGCTATAAAAGCATGAAGATCAAGAAAGAAACACAAAAGTATTGCCTTAAGAAACTATGGTGTTCCTAATGGTGAGTATGTTTGGATCAAGAAAGGAACTAACCAACAATTACCCAAAGCATATTGGGTAACTAACGAAGTTTAAATTACTTTGTAGGTATGCTTGAAGACCACGACCAACATGTGGTATCTAGATAGTCATTGTCCAAGCACATAACCAGAGACAAATCAGAATTTTCATCCTTTACTCTAAATTCTAAAGGATTTGTTACTTATGGAGACAATAACAAAGGAATAATTCTTTGTATTATTAAAGTATAGAATCTTCAATTTACTATTATTTATTATGTGTTATATGTTGAAGGCTTGAAGAATAATCTCCTAAGTATAAGCCAACTATGCGACAAGGGACTCGATATCAACTTTAAAAAAGATGAGTGCATTATAGAAGATGAAACCACTCATGAAATAAAGCTTGTTGGAAAAATGGTCAGAAAAATATGAACCATTGTGTTTATAAATCATTGCAAAAGTTTATGAAACTTTCCCAAATCATTACATCAAATCCAAGAGGCAACATATCATGTATTTAAGGCAACGTACACAAGATTTTAAAATTACATCTTTCATTCAAATTTTCAAACAATTCAATCACATATCAAGTGTTCAATCACAAACTTCATTTAAACTTTTTTTTGCATACTTTTTAAACATTATAGAAAAGTTTCATCAAACCTGTGAGCACTCAAGTTCTATATAATTGTGAATTATTTATTGTAAAGGGAAGATCAAATTTCTGAATTTTAGAAAGTGTCTAAAATCATTGTTACTCAAAATATTTTTTTATCATATTGTTGTAACTTGTTCACCAAGGTGTGGTGACAAACTATCGTATAAGAAAGTAGTGTTCTTTCTCTATGAGTTGTAATAAAGAAAGTGGTGTGCTTTCTTGCTTGTGTTAGAAGATTGAAAGAGTGTTTTGGTGTGAGGCGTGTACAAAGATCAAACATAGTGTAAAATCCTTTAAGGTGTGAAGGGACAAGATGTATCATTGGTTATAAGGGGAACTAGTATAAATCATTGTATAATTTACTTTCTTGCTATTTATTTTTCTGCGCTTTTCATTATAAGGTCATCAACATGATTTCAGAAAAATAAAAAGGGAAGAACAATTGCATAAAATCAAGAAAAATCTCTAAATCATAATTCAAACCCCTCTTAGTTTCAATCTCTAATTACAATTGGCATCATAGAAAGTTAAAGTAATTTGCTATTTGATTGAGGCAATCTTTTAAAACCAAATCAAACCTGGCAGACGAATTGAGAATCGAAGGCGTCACCTGTCTGGTCTGATTGCTGGACTAGGTAAGCCATTGAATCAGTGGGCACCAGTCATAATCGGTGAACTGACGATTTTGGAAAATTGACAGGTTAAATGCTTGATTTTTTTGTTTTCTTAATTATTTTTATTTTTTATTTATCAAAATGAATTAAAATATAAGTAGAATTTTTCAAAACTTATTTGGATCAACTTTCTCTTTTTAAAATTAAATTTATTAAATTATGCATTATTTTGTTATTCAATTCATATTGCAATTAGATTATGTTCAAAACTTATTTGGCCTTGTAGTTATACTATTTTGTTGTGTGTGATGACTATGTTTAGAATTTGAACTTAAAAAAAACTTGTGAAATAATAATATTTTAAATTTTCTTAGTGTCATGATTATTTTAGAGACCAAGTCATATGTTTTGACCAATTTAATAACTGTATAGTTTTATTATAAAGATCAAATTATTCAACCAAGTTATTCGATTTAATCAGTTTAGTCACGTGGTTTGACCAATGACTTAGTGGTTCAACCAGTAATCCAATACTTTCACTGATTTAATGACCGGTCTGATTTTTAAAATATTTGATCCGGGTAGACATGACTTTTGTTTTATTTATTGAGAAACAAGTGTGAGTTGTGTGGAGAAACAAGTGTGAGTTATAAGTTCCGAATTGCTTATAAAAGTGGAAGTTGAACACTTTATAAGTGAGATGACCCATACACCTATTATCTTAAAGTTTTGAATGAATATATGGTGTCTCTCACATAATTAGGTGATTATTTAACCTTTAGGTGAGTGTTTGACCCAATGTGAATGTTTTCCCTCATGATGAATCAATATTATTTTATAATACAAATTAATTTAATTCATTTATATCTAACCATACTAAGGTGTATTTGTTTCAAGTTTAAAAATTAAATTCTTCGGAATACATGGATAAAAAGTGAGGATACCCATGTTTGTTACAAGATTCAAAAACAAATATTATTGGGTGAAATTTTGTCACTTTAAAACAAATGTTAAAACAGATGTCTCAACACAAAACATGAAGTCAAGACAGATGTTATAACATCACCTGCTGACAGACAATATTACCAAAAACATAAAACAATGCATAATTAAATTGCAGAAGGTAAAAGAACACAATCAATCGCTAACTTAGTTCGGTGTAACGTCATCTACACTGGGGGCTACCAAGCCAGGAAGGAAAACCCCTATATAGTATTAGTTAAAAGCCTAAACAATCCCAATTTACAACTTTTTTTCTAATCACTACCCCATGCAACTTCTACCTAGGAAACTCTTAGATATGAGAACCTCTCATTTCCAATCACTGTAGTGATAGATAAACCAGTTACAATCCTAGCAACTAGTATCAAAATAGAAGATTTCACTTCCAATCCACAATACTTAGTTAAGACTCTTAACTAAGAACAATACTTAACCCTTTGCTTAAAAGCTCATGGGTGAGAATAATAGCTTGATAAACAAGCAACAATCAGTCAACTCAATGCATCAAAAGATACATGTGTGACATACAAAGAGCACAAACATAAAGAACTAAAAATACTCCCAAAACCCAAAACCCTTATGTTGTACCCATGATTTATTATTGTGAATGCTTATTATTTTAGGTCTAGCAAGTCCTTATTTATAGATGGTTTCACTATGGGCTTTGACTCTTCAATCAGGTCAAATATTCACGTTTTAAATCAGCTGCAAGATCTTCACATAAATTTAGGAACACATCTTTTTAAGTATTCCTAAAAAGTATCCAAGGTCCTTTTTAAGAAATCCAATTAAATCTGCATTTTCTTCCTAAATAATCTCCTTGACATGCGCATAATGATGAGGTATATCCAAAAGGATATCATTAAATAAAATTAAATATGTCAAGAGATACATAACAACAACGCCTGATGTACATCGACCAGGATGTCACAACATGTGTCTTCGACATCTGGTTAAAACACGTAACAAAAAAAATGTTATGACAGTTGATGAAGATGTTACAACATCTTGCACGAAATATGTATATGACCTTGTTTTACTAAAATTTATCCAATCATAAAACCATTAACTAACAATCTCCCCCTTTGGAAAATTTTGGCTAAAACAACCAAAGCATGATAAACCTAGAGATATAAACATGATCATTACTCCCCCTATTTTAAACAATCATTTCT